GAAATCCGTCCATAATAACATCTTGAATTCTAATACCTTTCATTTGCATGGTGTACCTTCTACTTTCACTTACAACATGTCAATATTTAAAGTGAATTTCTGATAACAGTACATAGTTGGGTCTTGCTTTTGTGAACCAAGCTGATAATTTCTGCAGCTTAACTGGATTTCAATTTCACATCTTAAAACTTATTGGGCTAGGGATGTAGCTCAGTGGTAGAGTGCTTGCTTAGCAGGCACAGTACCACTGGGAGAGGGAGAGAGGGAGATTGGGGGGAGAGGGGGAGGGACTGAAACTGAAGTAAATATTGTATACTACTATTCTGGAATAGAACAGTTCATGTGTCAGGCATTAATCCCTGCAAAGAGGGAATAATACACGTGTTAGGCTTCTAGAATTGGTGACGGTATCAATATAATCTGTACTTGAGCTATGCTCAAGTTTGTTGTAGCTCTAGTTTTGATTATTTAAAAGGCTTTCAAAATAGGATCAAGATTTTTTCCTCCTGAGGGCCTTAGGATGCAAGGATGGGTGAGATGTGCAAGATCTCATTTCATGGCTGAGCCACTGACTTTCAAAACTGCTTGTAACACTGCTGCCTGCTGAGCTGTTGGTAAATCCTTTTTGTTCTTTCGACCTGCCTCGGTTTTCCTTTGTCTTGGGAGATATCTTTCTTCTCTTCTTCCTACCCATTTATGTTTCCACTGACAGAGAGAGCTTTATCTCAACTTTCATGCTCCACTTCCATGCCTTAGCAATGGAAATTCCAGAGCTCCTACTGATTTTCACACATCTTTTGTCAAGGATCAGAAGACACTCTGTAGCATAGGTTTCTAGTACTCTGATAGTGACAATATTATGATACACTACAGTTAGTGGCAGCTGCCTTGTATTTGAGGATGACTTGTATGACCTCTCTTGGTCCCCAAAACTTGTCTTATTGCCTCTGAATACTCAGTGAAGACCCATGGGAAAGAACGTAGTAAGTGGGTGCAGACTTGGGATTTTTGTTTGTTTGTTTGTTTTGTACCAGGGATTGAACTCAGGACCTTGTACTTTTGCGGAAGGCGGTAGAAACAATGAGCTACAATCCTAGCCCTGGGTGCAGACTTGTTTTGTGGGGCTTAGGAGTTTTTATGTTTCACTGGTCTACAACGGTCATAACATATTAGGTACATTCTCGATATTTCCCCCTAACCCTGTCTACTCCTCTGCCCACCACACTACCAAGAACTGAATTCTAGTACATGGATGGGTTCAATTTTTCTAAACGTATCCAGATTGTTTTGATACATTAAGAGGGATGGCTTGAGACTTTCTGTATTCTAATACTGCGAGTAGGTTCTTTTTTGCTTTAAAAATCTGCTGCAATAGCTAGGCATGCAGGCTGGTGCAGGAAGATTGAAGCTAGTCTGAGGCCAACCTGAACACAGTAAGTTCAAGGGCAGCCTGAACTACATAATGAGACCTGCTCTCAAAAACAACTACTAAAATCTTGCAAAAACCATTAATCTTGGGGAATATTATGCTTTTTTAATTGTTTAGCCTTAAATATGTAAGTTTCCACTTAGTTGCATATTGATAATTTTATTTTCTAAGCACTGCACGGGGCATATGTGAAGATCCAAGTGCCCAAGAATTATTTTTATTCATATATCAGTTGGTTATACCATGATCCTAGAATAAATAAAAGAAAAAGTTTCCCACTACGTTTATAAGTAATCAGTCACCCTTCTTTCTGACTTGGACTTAGTCTACCCTTGACAATACAGGATCCTGAAAAGAAATGGTCTGATATATCTAAGTATATACAGGGGAAGGTCAGATAGTGAGAAGGACTGATCTAAGAATGGCATAAAAGATGCACCTCACATTGCTGGAATGTTTTTCCTACCATGTTCCAACCACATTTATCTTCAGTTTGAGGATTACTTCTGATTTATTTTGCAGCTGAAAAAGTTTCTATTGATTTATAGCAAGTACATGATTTAAAATAGCAATGCAATATAGCACCGATGACCCAGGATAAAGTTTGTTTCCAGATCTCAAAATTCTTTTTTTTTTTGATACCAGGGATTGAACTCAGGACCTTGCACTTGTGAGGCAGGCGGCGGAACCACTGAGCTAAATTCTCAGCCCCCGATCTCAAAATTCTGAAGTTCTGGAAAATGTCTACCTTTACTGTTTAAGTACAAGCATAGTGTGGCATAGTGGTTAAGGTAAATCTCCTCTGCACCTCTTACTAGCTACTGTGGGCAAATGAATGTCTAAATTTTAGTTTTGTCATTGAGAAAACAGGCTAAGAGTGATGCTCCTGAGAGCCCACCACGAGTGATGTAAGCCCACCACTTTCCAATTCAGGCACCACTGGATTCCTAGAAATAAAGTAAATTGAAAAAAAACCTTCATAATGCAAAATTTGGAACACAGAAAACAATTCATTATGAAGCACTACAGAAGATCACATAAGAACTTTTGAATAGAGAACAACTGCACATACAAAATAAAGTACTATTCTACATGTTTAGTAGAAAAACCTAAAAGCATACAAGAATCTGCACATACTCAAGACCCTAACAAAACTATCAAGGCAGACTATAAAAAGAACCAGACAATATCTAGGAGAGAAAAGGTACTCTGAAATAAAAATCTTATTTTTGTCTAAGAAAGCAGATTAGCTACAGATGAAGAAACTTAAGACATGAAGACTTCATGAAGGAAATGAAGTACAAGGAGATATATAATGTGGGAAGGCAAACTTTGAAAGGATAATGGCTGAGAAGTTTCCAGAACTGATGAAAAACACACTCTGTTGATTTAGTAAGCATAATGATAAATAAATAATAAATAAAATGTTAGATATAAACATATTTCAGTAAATTTGCCACACATCAAAGACAAAAGGATCTCCAAAGCAACCAGTGACAACACAAATCACATATAAACAAGACACAGACATACTTTTGTTAAATAGCAACAAAGAAGTCAGCCAGCATAAAACAGTATCTTCAGAGTATTTAGAGGCAACAGCTATCAACTTATCCCAGAATCTAGGTAGAATTAAATTTATAACTGAGGGTAAAATAAAGATATTTCAAACTAAGGGCTCTCATTGAGGCAGTATGGACATTTGAGGAACATTTTTGCTTTTTACAATGACTGAGGAGGAGCATGGAGAAGATGGAAGCTAGAAGAGCTAAATTTTCTACCATGAGTAAGATAGTCCTATACAATAAGCAACTGCACTATCCAAATGCTGTTAGTGGTCCATTGAGAAACACTGAAAAAAGGAGATACCAATCAGAGTAAACAAAAAAATTATACATCATGTGGGTAAAAGTGTTAACAGCCAAAAATACAAATCAATACTTTTGGGACTATAAAACCAAAAACAGAAGGAAAATATTAGAAATAGTAGGATTAGAATTAAAGTTTCCCAAGATTTATGTCTTCAGGGAGAACTGTAAGCTCATAGAAAAACTGAGAGTAAAAAGAAAAGATAAAGTAAGGCAAAGAAACTCAGACTCACATTAACATCAGTATAGATTTCATGGCAAACCATTATTTAAAAAAAAAAAAAAAAAAAAAAAAA